GCGGGGCTGCGAGGCTTGGGACGGTGCGTCCCTGGACGGGGAGTTCGAAAAGCCCGGCCGCTCGCGGGTACTGGCAGCGTCGCGGCGTCCTTAGCACGGGTTATCTGCCTCCCGCAGTGCTGCTGAACGGTTTACGCGTGCTGCGTTTACCGTAAGCAAATAAGACACTAGCAGCAGGCTTAAAAGGGCCTACAACCGGTGAAAAACACGGGCCTTGCAAAGCACCGGCTTTCTAAAGATTTTTACACGCTAATTTCTGCCGCCGCCTTCAACTGAGTGAGGCAAAAACCCCGGACAGAGAAGCTTTGCCTCTCCACAGTCCACGAGACCTGTGGTTCTCACAGGCTCCTGGACGCATTTGCAGTACTTACTGGGTTTCCAGATTTTTCTGTTGTTGGTCGTTTTACGTTGTTACAGTTTCTGAAGGTCTTTTTTTTTTTCCTATGGCTACTGCTAAGTCTTTTAAAAACCTTATTTCTATTCTGCCAACCATACTAACCGGGAGAAAAAAGTTTTACTCAGAAGGACACGTAAATCCACAATGAACTCTCAATGTTACTATGCTTTTCTCAGTCCAAGCACTTAAAAGCTTCATGAGTATTGGGGGCTTTAAGATACACACCAAAATAGACGGTGACGACGAGCGAGTGAGCTTGCGAACGCGTTTGGAAAGCTCGGTTCCCCAAAGTAACTGCTGCCATTGATCTTGAGGGGTCAACAGGAGCCGAGAGACTGGGGGAAGCCGGCAGAACCACACACCAGAAAAAAACAAGGGGGGAAAAAAATAATGCTGTAGGGGAGAGCATTGCCAATTTATTCAGTGTTTTCATTGCGCGTGCATTTTGCCGGAGAACCGGCGCTGGCCTAACGCACGGCGCCGAGCGTGACTCCAGCCCCACAGGGCCCGCCAGGCGCCCACCGGGGCAGCCTGCGCCCGGCCCCGCGCACCGAACCGGGGGCTGTTTTTAAAGTTTCTCTGTTGCCAGCTAAACTCTGACAGGAATGAAGGAAAAAAACATTTCCTTCACGCGTCGCAGCAGCTTTCCTGCCACGC